CACATTTTGTTTTTCGGAAGGCGGGCCTTCATCAAACCCGGAACTAATCGAGCCGCTTGTGTCAGGCTGGGGAGAAAGGTATTGTAATAATGTAAATTATGTGAAAAATAATGCGTTTTTCGAACCACCAAGCATGAGAGCCTGTTCTAGTTCACCCCCAAAACAAAATCAAGACTTTGTAAAAGAGCATAATAGGACCCCTTTAATTTTCTTACATTTCTGTTGTTATCCGGCAGGAAAAATATAGTTCATTTAACACACATGATGACTCGGTATAAAATAGCCTATTATGGATCAAAATATATAGGCAAAATGTAAACAATGAATTAAGAAGTTTAAGGGATTCAAAACAATCTCTGTGGTTTTATTGTGTTCACTTGTTTACAGCTACAGCATATGACGACATTGGAATTTGAATTTGGATCTGTTTTATAGTTGAATGAGTTTTGTTTCCTACTTGATGAACTTACAACTGAAATGTAACTAAATTTAACAAATTAAATTAATTTTTGAAGAATAATGGAAGAATTTAGCAACATGAATACTGTTATTTTCATGTTTATTACCATCAAGGTGGTTTTAAACTATTTGTATTGTATAAAGTGCTATATAAATAAATGTGACTTGATTTAGAGGACACAATTCCCATTATTATTCCCATTATTATTCATAATTAACATTATTCACAAACAGAATTCACAGCTTATTAAACCACTGCTGGATGAAGCAATTTATGAATTTAGAGATTTGATTGAAAACTTTGTAGTTACTCAGATGTAGCCTTTGTAACAGTTAGCCCTGATCTGCAGCAACACACTGTAAGTTAGTTATAATTAACTATTGTATACACTGTGGACTATATAACCTTCTTTCTTTCTTTCTTTCTTTTAACATTAAATTGTTTTATAGGAGGATCAAAACCTTAAAAAAATGACAATCACAGAAGTTAAGTAATTAAAGAAAGGCAATGTTTAATAGATTTTTGGAAAAATCACGATATTTACATTTAAAAATACTTGATTTTTGTGAATCTATAGCATGTGGAATATACAGAGTCAAATAGTGGAGAAACAAAATCAAACTTAAGACAGAGAAGGGAGATATAAAGATGTAGACTGCCCCCTACAGACTGGGAGACAAAACAACAACAGAGGAGGAAAACAATTCACCGACAGTCGAACTGATTTTTTTTTTTGGTTGGTTGGTTGAGAAAGAATAATACAGGTTCATCTGCTTCATCAAATAAGAGGAGAAAATGATATACACCATACGTGAATGAATGTTACGTACAGATATATGCATATGATGCTGTAAAAGTCTATTGCAAAAGTAGGACAGGTGCAAAAGCTTCTATTTTCTCTGATTTTCAAGTCATACCAAAACATCCACTGAATTTCATTCTTCTAGGTAGCCAGTGGTGTTATTCGGTCCTAATGCGTAAGAACACTAACAACTCAAATATGATTTGTGGCTTATCTAGAACTAGATTGTGTTCTATTGCTGACTGCACTGAGAGAGGATATTGCCTTCTGGAGGGAATTATTCTGCAGAAATACTGTCTGAGTTGCAGACTAAATCTTATTTATGAGGAGTTAAAGCATTAGGATCTGTGTTAGTATGCCCAGTCCAAGTATTTAGTAGAAAGTCTGTTACACTGTTACATGTGAAGCTGGACTTGTGGTTCCTACAGGCTTCCGTAGATTCTCTTGATTACGTCTCCTTCGTCCTTCTCAAGGATGCCTTTGTCGATGTATGCATCCACCTGCTGGTCCAAGAAGTCCCTCAGCTTGGAGAGGTCATAATCTTAACAAACCAAGAGAAGAGACAGGAACTGATCAGTACCGAAATCTAATAGCAATTTCTGAGTGCAGATCGTTTTTAGTTTTTCTAGTGATGTTACATAATATAAAAACAAAATGATATTAAATTAAAAAGTAGTAATAAGTATTATAATAATTAAAATATTTAAGTAATTACGTAATATTACTGTTTTTTAATGTACAAAGGAAATAGAGTTAAGGAAAAAGATTTAGTTAAAGCTACCAAAATAAATACATACTGAATGAATCAATAAATCAATTAATGAAGTGATATTTCCCCCTTTAAAAAAAAAACAAAAAACTTTAACAGAGAGAAATTATTAAAAATATTTGTTAGTTGTATTAAATCATTAAAATATTAATTAAAAATGACAAAAATGTTTATTTTATAAATCTATAAAGGAAATTATAAAATATTTATTTAAAACTACAATATCTACAAGATAAATACATACATATATACATACATTCATACATAATTTGATATCCCCCCTTAAAAATAATCATATTTAACAAAGAGACATTATTCAAAAAATATTTGTTAGTTGTATTAAATACCTAAAAATATTCATTAACAATTACAAAAATGTTTATTCTATAAATGTATAAAGGAAATTATAAAATATTTATTTAAAACTACAATATCTACAAGATAAATACATACATATATACATACATTCATACATAATTTGATACTCCCCCTTAACAATAATCATATTTAACAAAGAGACATTATTAAACATATTTGTTAGTTGTATTAAATAACAAAAAATATTCATTAACAATTACAAAAATGTTTTTTTATAAATGTATAAAGGAAATTATGAAATATTTATTTAAAACTACTATATCTACAATAAATAAATACATACATAATTGTGCTATTTGCCTCTTAAAATTAATGGTTTGATCTTTCAGACATCATTTTTTAAAAGAGAGACATCTCAAAAAATATCATTTTTTTTTTCTCTTTTCTCTTTTTTATATGTTTATGTTGAAATGTATATTTGCCTTATCAAGCTCAAACTCTGCAGGACTCTTGTCTTGGAAAAAAATAAATTGCGGTGATGAATTTTTATAGAAAAATATTGTTCTTTGTTTAAATACAAAAATATTAACTGAATAATTTGGCGTGGTGAAATCATATTCTTTTAGTTCAGTGTTATTTGTGCACTGAACTGAAGTCCCTCAGCTTGGAGAGGTCATAATCTTAACAAACCAAGAGAAGAGACAGGAACTGATCAGTACCGAAATCTAATAGCAATTTCTGAGTGCAGATCGTTTTTAGTTTTTCTAGTGATGTTACATAATATAAAAACAAAGTGATATTAAATTAAAAAGTAGTAATAAGTATTATAATAATTAAAATATTTAAGTAATTACGTAATATTACTGTTTTTTAATGTACAAAGGAAATAGAGTTAAGGAAAAAGATTTAGTTAAAGCTACCAAAATAAATACATACTGAATGAATCAATAAATCAATTAATGAAGTGATATTTCCCCCTTTAAAAAAAAAACAAAAAACTTTAACAGAGAGAAATTATTAAAAATATTTGTTAGTTGTATTAAATCATTAAAATATTAATTAAAAATGACAAAAATGTTTATTTTATAAATCTATAAAGGAAATTATAAAATATTTATTTAAAACTACAATATCTACAAGATAAATACATACATATATACATACATTCATACATAATTTGATATCCCCCCTTAAAAATAATCATATTTAACAAAGAGACATTATTCAAAAAATATTTGTTAGTTGTATTAAATACCTAAAAATATTCATTAACAATTACAAAAATGTTTATTCTATAAATGTATAAAGGAAATTATAAAATATTTATTTAAAACTACAATATCTACAAGATAAATACATACATATATACATACATTCATACATAATTTGATACTCCCCCTTAAAAATAATCATATTTAACAAAGAGACATTATTCAAAAAATATTTGTTAGTTGTATTAAATACCTAAAAATATTCATTAACAATTACAAAAATGTTTATTCTATAAATGTATAAAGGAAATTATAAAATATTTATTTAAAACTACAATATCTACAAGATAAATACATACATATATACATACATTCATACATAATTTGATACTCCCCCTTAACAATAATCATATTTAACAAAGAGACATTATTAAACATATTTGTTAGTTGTATTAAATAACAAAAAATATTCATTAACAATTACAAAAATGTTTTTTTATAAATGTATAAAGGAAATTATGAAATATTTATTTAAAACTACTATATCTACAATAAATAAATACATACATAATTGTGCTATTTGCCTCTTAAAATTAATGGTTTGATCTTTCAGACATCATTTTTTAAAAGAGAGACATCTCAAAAAATATCATTTTTTTTTTCTCTTTTCTCTTTTTTATATGTTTATGTTGAAATGTATATTTGCCTTATCAAGCTCAAACTCTGCAGGACTCTTGTCTTGGAAAAAAATTAATTGCGGTGATGAATTTTTATAGAAAAATATTGTTCTTTGTTTAAATACAAAAATATTAACTGAATAATTTGGCGTGGTGAAATCATATTCTTTTAGTTCAGTGTTATTTGTGCACTGAACTTCAGTTTCGTAACACTTCAGGTCTAAAGACCTAAATGTTAAGGGTTATATAAATCAGTGTGTTGGTTAAAGCAATGTAGTGTTTCATGCTAAAAGGAAGGCTGTAACCTAGAATCATTTAAATAAAAACTTGAAATGCGTCCTGATCGCCTCCAGATAACTCTCAGACTTCCCAGGATGACCTGTCAGACAGAAAATATAAAAAACCCTTTTTTTTCTGAGACATAAGAGACAAAATCTAAACATATTAACTAAACATATATTTCCCCTCTATAAATTCTCATTACCATTATGCAAAAATGTCAGTTTCCATTGCTGTAATGCAAAATAAAAAAATAAAATAAAATAAATAAAATAAATAAATAAATAAAGTAAATAAAAATAAATAAATACATAAATACATAAATAAATAAAATGTGTTAACATCATGGAATTGTTTATTTTGCTTTATTTATTCTGATCAAAACAAACAAACAAACAAAACCCCCATCACATTACAGTAATGAGAATTGTCCTAAAATAGGCTTAATTTGCTTTATGCAGAATATGTTCTGCTTTCTTTTGTGATGAATATGACCTGGACATGATTCACCCTTCTAGACGATATCAGGCTATTGAATATAAGCGATAGAACAAGAGTTCTCATCTCCAAACACACTCTCATTTTCTGAGCTGAGCAGATGATGCCTGAAGGACACACACAGTGTTTCAGTCTCATGCTGGCAGGTATGAAGAGAGGAATACACAGATCTTTTGTCAGAAACACAGCAGACTTGCACTGCTGTAACACAGCCAAGCTCATCAAACCAACGCATATTCATGAGCGCTCTCACCCACCCACGCTCACTTTAATTGCAAATGAAGAGAAAGAAAGAGTCTTAAATTTGACTGCTCTTCTCCATGTTTTCATTAAATCATGTGTAACCTTGGGTTAGGGAGAAACCCTTTGACAGCTTAAAGAGAGGGAGAAAAGGCTGTTTATCAGTTTATCACGGATTACCAGTGTGTTCACTAGCAGTATAGGATGGTATACTTGTGTCATTTGTCATTTACAAAATCTAGCAACAACTTTGTCAATTAATTTTGAGCAAATATTCTGTAAAATGGGTGTTCATTTATTTTGGCAACATGTGTAGATCTACATATAATTTTGCATCTTTAAATTGTGTTATGCATATAGGCTGCTGGCCTATATTACACTAATGCGACCACTAATTACCATGTAGAAATTGCTGCGCTAATGCAGTTTAATTGAAACAATATTACAAACAAAACCAGCTAAAAATAAAAGGCAGAGCACATATCCTGCTGGCTTCATCATGATTAGAGCACATAATCCATTCCATTTCATCAGCAGTGAAATAACAGAGTCATGACTGAAAGGAAATGGGTGTGGTGCTTTATTTTTGATGAACATTTACCTTCTTTGTTGCTTTCCTTGTTGTGTTTTTTCAGCCATTCAATGTTCTTCCTGATCGCCTCCAGATAACTCTCAGACTTCCCAGGATGACCTGTCAGACAGAAAATATAAAAA